AAGCACCGTCTACTTCGAATATGAAGGCCGTCCACTTCTGCTCAAGAAAATGAATGTACTCGACCGAGTTTAGGGCTTGATGGGTTTTTAAGTATCTGTGCGGCATACCCAACGATATTTTTGCAAATTCAAAGATGACCTCTTCGGGTTTAGGGCTTTCAGTCTCAATACGCAAGAAAAGAGAATAGAAGCTAACGGCCTGTGCCACTTCACGAGCGAAGACCGGTGACTGTCGCGATTCATGATGTCCGTAGGTAGGCATTCGTAAGATGAGCTGCGGAAATCATTGTCTTTCCTCTACCGCAGCCTTGAGTTTTTGAATGTAAGTGCAAGCACAATCTTCATACGCGATGAGTAGCTGGCTTTTGCGACAGAACGAGAGCGGACTGCGAGTTTGAGAGTTTTGAGTGAACCGTAGCTCCCCTTGCCTTTATTTTTCCCCAAGGAAAAAAATACGCCACCGCATGTGCGCACTGCTTCCGCCTTTGATTTTGTATCTAATTTTCTGGCGCTTGCAATACTTCCCTGCAAGACCCTTTTAATACTGTGCCGAAACTAAGAGTAACACTTTGTTTCACATGATTGATGTGTTCTTCTGGCTCGAAAAAATTAGCTGCGGGCCCAACCATATATAAGACAAGCGATGAGCGTGTCCCTTAGTAGTGAGCCGCGAAGCAAGATGGCGGGCGGCCGGACTATCGACATCGTATCATACTGCAACACAGCCTCTCACGCCAGCACCTGTTTTGTCATGCGAAGGAATCCTTCCGGCGCCATCCGCTTCTCGGCGGTGGTTCTCGACTACTAAACACGAGCGAAGGTCAAAGCCAGTGGACCAGTCGGATGTGTAGTGATGACCATCGGCGTGGCTAAATCTTCCGACGAGGACTTTTTGGCAAGTGGCTCGATTTCGTTATGAAATTGCAAAAAAAAATCACTCTCACCCCCGCCACTTAATGATTCAAGGAGCAAAAGCAGAGCAGTCACTTCTGCATGATGTATCATTCCCGTGCCGCCTCATGTTATATTCGGAGTGCTCTTCCTGCAGTTTATCGATTTCAGGCAAGGCAGTCCTGCTCAAGGCCAACAGGGGCAGCTGATGCGCAAACACTATTCTACATGACCATGACAAGGCAGCAAACTCCTGTGCTTTCTTTCGTCCGTTCGGCATGACAACCGTGGGGTACGACGGGGAGTTGCGCAGAATATTCCATGGCAAGTATCGGCGAGGACCCAAGTAAAGACCACCACTACGCAACTGCTCCTCATCAAGACCAAGAATTTTTGGATGCCGGCCCAACTGGTGCCGTTGACCGAGAAACTGCGACCACTTCCACGTATGGTTTTGGGCCGGAAGCGGACGTGCAGCCGGATGAAAATCAAAATGGGGCTCTTTCTCTGTCTTCTGGAGCCACAGTTTCTTCGTTTCTGGCCTCGACTTCTGCCGGGGAACCCCAGTGTGCCGACAGTGCGTACACGTCCAACACATGCGGCCCCCGCACGGACGAGTGTTTCTCGGTGTGCGGCGTCCCCCCGGACGGGGGCGGGCAACTGGACCGGTTTGCTGGGTGGTGCGAAGCCTGCGTGGGGACTGTTAAAAACCGCAAAGTGGCGGGGGCATGTTGTCGCAGGGACGGCAAGGACACGTACGATCCCGACGCGTGTCGCTACAGTGGGATCACCTTCAAGCACACGAACTATCACGAGTGCGTCGCAGTACCGGGCTGCTTGGCGGAAGCAGAAGTTGCGATTTCCGGGCGCGTGACAATTTCGTATGGGCCATCAGCAGGATCGCAAGGTGCTCTCAAGTCACGAGCTTTTTGTGCGCAGGCACCGAACCAGCAGTGCCGGTACCTCACGGCGGCGCAAGATTTCACGACTGCTACTTCAACCACGACTGGTACGGGGACCAGCAGTACCAGTTTCCTCCCTTCGTGCTTCAAGAGGAACGTCGGGAGGAAACCGGATGCGGTATCTGGCACAAAAATAGCCTGGTGCCGACAGAAGTGCAATGCTTTACCAGGGTGCAACTTTTTTTCATACAACCACTCACCGTCCGTCGGCGGGTGCTTTCTTTTTGACGCCTGCCCTGACCGGTACGGCGCCCCTTACTTCGATAGCTCCCCCTTCAAGACATACGAATGCACGCCCTATCAGCGGTGCAAAGATTGGGAAGAGTCCGGGACGCTGATATGCCCGTCCGGTCACAGGTACGACAGTTCCCGCGACGACGTGCGATGCGCCGGCGATATCTGCACACAGGCCGCAGACGAGCACACGTGCTGCGTTCCTCTCTGCAACTGCGGCTCGGTTGTTGCTAATGGGGTACGGACCTATTATCCCTGGAAACCCAGCAAAAACGCGAATTCGCCCTGCACAGAAGCCAACCCGACGGAAGCGAATTGCCGGGCCTTTTGCTGTCAAACCGGATGCCAGGAGCCGGCTGAGGCGGACCAGGAGAAGTTCGCGAGCGGTCTAATGCTGAACACCATAGACTGGCCGGTGACGACGATGAGTGTCGCACCGAGCGCGGCCTGGTCGCAGAACCTGGCTTGCCATACCGACTACGTGCGCGACTCCACAAAAGACAACCAGAACGCGCGGTGCGACCCGGCCAATAGTCCGCTGCAGTTGCAGGGATGCAACCCCGCGGTGTGTGCGTGCTCTCACGGCCAGCCGGGAGGCTCTTGTCCGCAGTGGGCCACGCAGCGCTGCGAGCCGGGGTCCTGCGACACTGATAGCTTCTACTTTTACCGCGGAAATTACCCCACTGTCAACAAGCCGTCCTCGACGAGGTTCACGCAGTTCCGCCAGTCGTCCTGCTGGCCGAGATGCACCCAAGCGGGGGTCTGCCAGAAGGTAAACGGCCGGCACTACCTTTTGAAAGACTCCACGGAGCCGTGGCACTCGGCGTCCACAGTACCTGCAAATTTTCAAGACATCTGCTGCCATGCAGGCTGTACGATTCCAGCTGCGGCCGCGCAAGACAGGTTTGTTTTGGACAGCATCACCACCTATTGAGTCGACGCACTGTGAGGAGACATAGATATCTACTTCCATTGTGATCAATGACACTTGTTCTATCTGTTTTCGCGCGCAGTTGGTAATATATAATTCCTGATGTGCATTTTTCCTGTCACGCAGCTGCCATCACCACGTTGATGGAAAAAAGTGTCGGGAGAAGCAACTGTTTCTGCGTGAAGTGAATTGCTCTCCCTTATTCGAATAGAACCTTGACTTTTTCTTGTAATGTACTACTTATTGCAGCTTCGCGTCGCAGAATTGGGAGGTGGAAACGGCAACGATGATGCCGGGCGCGACCTGGAGCCGCAACTATGAGTGTCACGTCGACTATGAGCGGGACTCGACGTATGACAACGCGAACGCCCGGTGCAATCCGGCCACCAGCCTGGCGATGGAGCTCCGCGGGTGCGTGATGGCGCAGTGCGTCTGCCACCACGGCAGCGCGACGGCCGAGTCCGAGTGCTCCGTGTGGGGCACGGAGATGTGCTTAGACACCAGCTGCGACACCGCGAATTACTATTTTTACCGTCCGAATTTCCCCATGACCACCCTGCCCGAGAGCACGCGCAAGACCAGCGCGTTTCAACAGGCGTCCTGCTGGCCCAAGTGTACCCAGGCAGGGGTCTGCGCCCAGCATAACGACGTCTACTACATTTTGCGGGACAGTGCGGAGTCCTGGGGCGCTACCAGGGACGCGCCGGCGGATTTTCGTGACATCTGCTGCCACACGGGGTGCAAGGTGCCCAGCGCGGAGGATCAGGAAAAGTAGAACTGTGTTAATTCGCTGCGACAGGAGAATCTGCGTTTGCATAAGAAACTCGAATGCTCTCCTCGTAAAAAGGCCGTTCTGATTGATATGTTCCGCGATCCTCTTTCAACGAGACAGGACCGCACGCTGTCTTTGTCTTTTTTGTGACCGCGGCGAAACATCACGCGGAACTGACCGAAAGTCATTGACTTGTGTTGCATGCTGAGTCAATTATTCAAGAGGAATAGACTGAAAAATCAAGAGGAACCAAATGTGTTGCATGCTAAAGACCATCGGCGCTTTTGATCAGGTCGTGGTTATTCATGGATGATTACTCAAAAAGCGACCCGCTCATATCAGGTTTGCCGCGCAAAATTGGAACACAGAGACCTCTACGATGCTGCCGGCAGACAGCTGGAGCCGAAACTATGACTGTCATGTGGACTTCGAGCGCGACTCTGCCGTGGATCATGCGAACGCGCAGTGCTGGATATGCAATACAAATCTAATATCGTAATCGTGCGAATTGAAATTGCATTGCAAAATTTCATTTGCTCTTGTTCTTTGAGAGGTTTAACCTTCAACGTGTACTGCCCGCAAGGCATAGAAACGCGTCCCGTCATGCAATAATCGCATTTTTTACGAATGCAATGCTTGAGCTCCGGATACCAACCAAGCGCCAGCGAGAGAATGAAGCTCCGCGGCTGCGAAGTCGCACCCTGCGTCTGCTCTCACGGCTCGCACACAGCCGCCGTAAATTGTCCAGCGTGGGGCAAAGAAATGTGTGTAGCGAACAGCTGCGACGTATGCAAGCAAGAATCAAGGTGTGCGATCTAGTTCCAAGGGTCAGTGCTATTGCAGGGTATGGGGACGGCGCAGATGAGCAAAGCACGGTGACCACGACTCTAGGAGTCATCTTCTCTTCGCATCAAACAATAGCGCGCAATCTCACTTGCGCAGACAATTGTCTCTCTGTGGAACTACGACAACACCAATTGCGCTTTCATACACCGAGGACAATTTCTACTTCTTCCGGCCCAATTGGCCGGTTGCCACGCCGCCGAGCGGAACGCGGTACCCGCCATCTTTCCAGCAGGCGTCTTGCTGGCCCCGCTGCACCCAGAGTGGGGTTTGCCAGAAGCACGAGGGAGTTTACTACATGCTTCGTGACAGCACCCAGCCGTGGGGTGCCTCGAAGCAGGTGCCGAGCAGCTTCAGGGACACGTGCTGCCACACCGGCTGCAAGGTGCCCACAGCCGCTGCGCAGAAGAAGTATTTTTGGACAAGCTCGCTTCATGATAAGAAGAGATGGTTCAACTGTTGCATCAGGGACTTTGGCAAAGTACGGAGGTGGTGTAGAGAACGAATGTAGACCGGAAGTAAGCATCAAAGAATTTTCAAAGCAGAAAGTTAATTCTGTTCTTTTACATGATGGAGTTTGAAAAAATCGAGCATTAGGAAGGTTCAATTTGCGCCGACACATGAAACTATGATCATTGCTTCACGGTGCCAGAAATTCCCTCCAGGTTCGCCTCACAGGATTGGGAGTTCCAGACTTCGACCATGATGCCGGCCCCTTCCTGGAGCCGCAACTACGACTGTCACGCAGACTACGAGCGGGACCCGGCCAAGGAGAGCTTGAACGCAAAGTGCGACCCGGGTTCGCATTCCGAGATGCAGCTGCAGGGCTGCGAGCTGTCGCAGTGCGTCTGCGAGCACGGGTCCCACGTCTCTATGCCCGAGTGCCCGGTGTGGGGCACGCAGATGTGTCGGATCGGGTTTTGCGACGAGCAGAACTACTACTTCCACCGCGCCAACTACCCCGTCGTGGCACCCCCGGCCGGCACCCGGTACGACAACAGCTTTCAGCAGGCCTCCTGCTGGCCACGGTGCACGCAGACCGGCGTTTGCGCAGCCGAAAACGGACTGTTTTACAGTCTGAAGGACGCGTCTGAGCCCTGGCACTCCGTGGCCACCACGCCCGCGGATTTCCGGTCGATCTGCTGCTACACTGGCTGTCGGCAACTCGCCGCGGCGGAGAAAAAGCGGTTTGCGTTGACGGAGCAAGAGTGGGTCGCGATCATGATTCACCCGGACATGCGGGCAGGTGGTCCGGGATACCAGTATGGGTCCTGCGCGACTGAGTACGAGGGGAGTGTGACCCAAAACACCGGTCTCGCAACGTTCATCTGCAATTTGGCCGACACGCCGATCGCCATCGGAAACAGCTGCAACCACTGGAAGTGCAAGTGCACGGGTGGCTTGCGCAACCAGGACTTCTCCACCTGCCCGGGCTACAATGTGGAAAATTGCGGCAAGTGCTACAACGCCAAGTACAAGCCACGCGTGGTGGACTCGATTGTTAGCCCCACAGGAAAAGAGACCCAGTGTTGGCGCTACTGCGAGGCGATCACCTGCAGCGACTTTGACGACCCGGCTACAAGCACTTACTTCCGGCCGAGGCTGGAAAACTTAGGCTCTCCGCACGGGCTGAGTGGGAAGCGAGTGGAGTTTTGCTCGGACCGGACGGGCACGGACGCGAATTGCCGGGATTCCTGCTGCGTGCAGAGCTGCCGCAAACCCAGCTCCACGGTGGTGCAGAACATTTTCACCGTCACGCCCTCGTGGGACGAGCTGGTGCAATCTCCGGCCTTGTATCCGGGGTACGACGCCTGGACCACCAGTAGCGAGTTGAGCTACACCGGACCCGTGACGACCACGTCGACCACCAGCACTACAAGTTACTGGAACAAAACGCATTTAGTATCCTGAAAATTATGCTGCGAGTCACAGAGGCAGATTACAGGGGACTCGTTTAGGGCTCCTTTTTCGACTTAAATATCTTCAAATAACTTTTCGCCAAAATGATCTTTGTCTTGCAGTCTGTAAGCTGTACTAGGAAAGCGATGCGTTTGTGTGCCATACCAGCACAAGCTCGACAACTTTCACCCAGACCACCTCAACGAGTACCACCTCAACCACTTCCACGACCACCACCACGACAACGTCCACGACTACTTATCAGAGGAAAATCAACAAAGAGGTCTTGAACAGAAGAAAACACCTAAGTATTTCTCTGGTGGTCTATGCGGCTCTCATCCTGTTCAAACCAAGAAAATCAAAAGTACTGCGTCGCCATGGTTTTTCAGACAATGACCACGTTTGTTTTGATACTTGTCGGCAGTTTCACAACGCGCTATCCCGAACTGTCGGAAGGCTAGTACGTGCGAGCGAGACAAAGTGCAGCACTGATGCATGCTCAAAATGCGCAATAAAAAGCTTAGACGTTTGATGTTCCTGCAGGAAAGCATTTTCCTCATCTCCATACACGTACAACCGTTACCACCTCGTATCACGAGGAACTAAAGCTTGGGTCCCCCAACCTCCAGTTGAAAAATACTCTGGGCGGATAAAAGTTTCTTAGCACCAAAATACCGAGTTTAAGTGCGCGGCAGGGTGAAAAGAAACGAACAGGTGTGGCTCGACGTGCAGTATACAGGAAATTTATTTTTTGCATTGCTCTTCATCCTGAATGTACAGGTACTCGCGCAGCACTCATGGTGGAAGTGTAGTGCACAGTACTAAAATCATTAACCTTCGCGACAGCGGAGCACGTAAAAGAAGCAACATCAGTTGGAGTACCCTGTGGGACTGGGTTTTTTTTCCGCCTGATACATCGACCACGACTACCACAACTACGGAGACCATAATGCGGGCTTTTGACCTGGATTTTACTGTGGACACGGGCGTAATTCCAGAAGACCAAATTTCGCAGCTCGGTGCGAATACCGCGGTCGTCGAGGCGGTCAAAAACGCAACCTTGGCTTATCTGGAAAAAGACGGGAACATCAAGCTGGACAAAGCCGATCTCCAGTCGTTTACCGTGACCGCAGGGACGCCAAGTAGTAGCTCGAGTGCAATCTCGGCTTCTTCTGCCGCGCTGAGTGCAGCGGCCTTTCTGGAGGACGAAGAGGAATTTGCTCGTAGCAACGGCCGTAGTTTCCTCGCGGACTCCGCCGCCCGCAGGCTCCGGCGCGCTACCATGACGGTGGCGCTTTCCATCGCTTTCACGGCGATCGTTCGCAGTGCTCCAGCCGGCTACGTCTATCAGGCAGCGCCAGACTTGGCGGGGCTCGTGGCAGCAGAAAATTTGCGCAGTGCGAATTTGAAATCGGCGCTGACCGTCGGCGGGAAAAAGGAAGGAAGCCGGTACGAGGAATTCACCTACGAGGCTTGGATCTACCCAACGAGGGAAGATGCAAACCGCAAAGAAATTTTTGGCGGCATATCGCGAGGCTTTTATCTACTTCGTGCTGAGCCGCCGGAGGTGTGGAATGCGGCGTGCAAAACTGGCTCCGTGTACGACAAGTACCAGCCCGGTCCTGGGGAAGAGTCCCAGGCCAGTCCAGTCAATCCGTACGTGCTCCACGTCGGATATACAAGCACCTTCAGCCAGGTTTGCGTCAGGTTCAACCAGTGGACCCACGTGGCGGCGACCATGCGCACGAATGCAGGCTCCCCGACAACCTATACCCTCGCACTGTATTTGAACGGTGAGAAAGTCGCAGAGAAAGCGGATGTTCCGCCGGCTTCGCCGAACTTCCCGGCGGCCTTTTACCAAAACACCATTGGCAGGGGATTTTTGGACAATACCGAAAAGCTTTTCAACGTGCGGCTATGGAAAACCGAACGAACGGCCGCGCAGATCCGCGATTACGCACTAGCTGTTCGACCCGAACAGATGGACACGAAGACAGACTTGGTGTGGTGGTTTCCGTTGCAGGAGGATTGCAACGCGGCTGGTGTCGTCCCCAGCTTGCCGGGCCCCGTAACAGCTCCTCCAAGCACGGACGTTTCCTACCCGTCAATCAGCGCCCCTGCCCTGGAACACGCGATGGAGAAGACGCACACTTGCCCCGCTGGGGAGGCTTCCTGCAGCGGGTACCTTGGCCTGCCTCCCTCCGTACCCAGCCGGCCCGGGAACGCGTTGTGGGCGTTTGAAACTCGCTGGCCCGGCGAATCCGGTCCGGGATTGACGGACGCACAGAAAAACGACCTGGTGCGGTGCATGGCAGACAGCATGACGGCAGCAAACATCGGAGGCGTTTCGGTGGACACGGCTTCCGCAGCGATAGAACTGACTGCCGCGCCGATAGAGATCACGGGCAACTTCACCGAAGACGGCGCTGGTGCGCTAACGGCGGAGGCGAAGAGCGCTGAGCTGTCGGGAGATTTCGTCCTGGACCAGTCAGGACAGACGCCTTTTATCGAGGTTCCAAACGGGCCAAATAGTGAAAATTGGTACGACAGACCAGATAAAGACTGTGCCTTCGACACCGGCAGCACGGCCACTTTTCGCATTTCCGTCACGACCGCCACTGTATCAAGAGGAAAAATCCCCCCTCCCCATATCGAACAGGAAATTTGTGATGCTGGATTTGCTTCCCCAAATCGGCTTGTGTTGCTAGAAGGCCAAGGGACGCACTTGCGGCCTGAATTGCAGGCAATTTGTCATGCTGTTTCCCACTTCCAGTTGCCTCCTGTCATGCTGAAGATGCAAGGCCTTCTTACGCCAGCCAGCACTACAGTCTGCGTCTTTTCCCTTCTAGCATGACAACATGATTTGTGGTCACAAATCAGCATCACAAATTTCCTGTTTGAATATGGGGAGGGGGGATTTTTCCTTTCGATACACTGCTTCTTTCGGCTTGTACGGCACGACGAGGTGCAGTGGTGAACACGGGCAGCATATCGAAAGGAAAAATTCCCCCTCCCCATATCGAAAACGAAATTTGTCATGCTGTATTTGAGGTCACAAATCAGATTTGTCTTGCTGGCGAGGACTGCAGGCCCATATCAGGCCTGAGTAGACAAGTTTTGGCCTAGGCACTTAGCATGGCAGACGTCTACGCTGTAGGAGCAACAGCATGACAAACCGCCTGTAGAATGTGGCGGTTGTCTGTGGAGTTGCCTTCATGCAATACAGCGACGATTTGTGGTCTCAAATCTGCATCGCTGCATTTCGTCTTTTTTTTCCAATAACAAACGCAGACTGTTCGTCTTTTTTTTCCAATAACATGCCGAGCGTGTTTTTTCCTGCGTCCTATCCTCTTTTTTTTTTTTCCCCTTAACTGAAAGAATCTCTTCTGGTTTTTTGGCTACGATAATTTTCTTCTTGTTCCTGAGAGACCGTTAAGCGTTTTTTCTTCCTCTAGCCTGCGCCTCTGATTCTCTGTTGTTTTTTCGCTTTTTTCGCATCGTTGATGATTCCTTTGGCTTTTGTCGAGTCTTAAGCATTTTCTCCCTAGGCCGCTTTACTTGCGATTTATAGCCCCTCGCGCCCTTGCTAGCTAGTGAGCCCCTCAGTAAGTTTGTCGCTTTTCTCATCGTCTGGCCCATTACATATTTGCCCTCGTAGTCTAATGGCCTCCGCTTCATAATCCCAGCCCTAGCACATGCTCTGTTTCTCTCGTGCCCAAATTTCCTCCTGCTTACGTGGTGGGTTTCCCTCCTATCTTTCAACAAATACAGACCGCGGGTTTTTTTTTTTTTCAACCTTGCACTTTTTGGATTTTTTCAACCAAACAAAAAAGCAGGTCGCAACAGGGAGAGGGATCATGACTAGCCACGTAGATGTCGTTGAACATCCGGCAGGAAAATCCCAACCCTGCAACGTGGTAAGGCAGACGGGAACGCCCAATATACCTTCACTAGATCGCATGCAAACAGGCCTCGGCACCTGTTTGCATATCGGTCGACGTGAGCACCGCGGCAGCATTAAGGTCAAAATGAAAACTAGGAATGAGATTCCTCGTAAGTTTAGTAGCCAAAACAAACTGCCGCCATAAAAAAAAAAAAAATCTGCATCACAAATTTTCAGAAGTGTCCCGGTTTGGTATGGGGAGGGGGGATTTTTCTTCACAATACAGCAAGCTAAGTCCGACAACAGTGCTTCTTTCGGCTTGTACGGCACGACGAGGAGGCAGCATATCAAAAGGAAAAATCCCCCCTCCCCATATCAAAACGAAGTTTCTGATGCAGGATTTGCGTACACAAAAAAGATTTGTCTTGCTGGAGAGGAATCAGCCCCATACTAAGCCTAAGTAGAGAGGCTCTGGCCTAGGCGTCTAGCATGAGAAACGTCCGCGCTGTAGGCCCATCAGCACCACAAACCGCCTGCATAATGCGGCAGAGCCTGTGGAGTTGTCTTCTTGCAAGGCAGGCGCGATCTGTGGTCTCAAATCAGCAAGACAAATATTCGGAAACATACCTTTTCGATATGGGGAGGGGAAATCTTTCTTTTTGATAGCTCAGGAGGTTTCACCTCCTGCAGCTGAGGCCCCCCACAACAGGAGAAACGACCTCGAGGAAGGTCCTGCTGGCAACCGCGTGGCAGCTGCCTCAGCGGAGGGCGAGCAGCAGAATTGGATGGATGCTGCAAAGGTGGAGCCCCTCCTACACGGTATTAACCCGACACGTGAACAAGCTGATATCAGCTGGACAAAACATGGCCGCCGCGATCTCAGTTGTCAAAATGCGTTCTGTCATGAAAATGTATGAAGAAGATTTGCTGCAGACGCAGAGACTACGGCTATGGTATGACAAGCGTGTGCATGCAGTGGAGTCGACAGTTGCCACATCGTGAGGCTCGCTGTGGTCATCAACTTTTTCACGCTAAGAGTACATGGATGAGCAGCAACAGGAGAAGCAACAGGACAAGTGTGTGTGGTGCAAAAATTAGAATTACACACACACACAATAAACTGAAACTTCCTGTTCCTTACGCGCATCTGCAAAAGACATTGCAGCTGGAACAAAGAAAGTATGCGCAATAGGTCGTGGGCGGGACGTTTTTTCGCAGGACGATGTGCGATGTGGGCACTCAAGCTCTAGCGGCGGAGGCAGACACTTCTTTCGGCTTGTACGGCACGACGAGGCGCAGTGGTGAACACGGCCAGCAAGCTAAGGACGACAACAGTTTCTGTGTCAAAGTGGAAGACCCGTCTGGAAATGTGTTTCTGAACTTCGGCAACTGGGGCACCGGCACGTCGTACACATTTTCGGAACGGAAGGTGACCGACGTGGCCAACTTGCCGCAAGGGACCAGCAAGCTGGTGATCGGACTGCGCCATCGCGGTACTCGCCTCAGTGCTGTCCGCCTGAGTCCAGCTACCGGGACCGCGGCTTTTGTCCTTTGGCGACCGTGGAACGACGCGCCTGCTAAGTTCACTTTCCATAGCTGCACGGTCAATCATTCGGGATCCGGCGCAAAGTAGGAGAGCAAAAAGCAACTATGCTTCTGGTTACTGCTGCAAATTTGTTCTCCTAGAACGACTGCCGCGTCGGAGCGCCTTTGTCGTTTTGGTGATCATATTGGCACGGCCAGGGCCGTAATGTATTGTTTATGAGTAGCTTTCCTAACCGTTCGCAGACTTTATGGCAGATCTTTTTTTTTTGCAGTTTCTGGTATTGTGCATGCCCTTCGTTTGTAAAACAAGTTTGCTATGGGTTTGTTCGGGCGAAAATGAAGCAAGTCCCCGGAAGCAGTTCTTTTCCACCGCGATACAGCACTAAGGGCGCAGGCAACCGCAGAAGACGGCCAGACCGCTTCGATAGAGATGCTATTAGCCTCGGGGGGTGTGACTAGATATTTTCCGAGTTCGGTATCCCGCGAAAAAACATCATTGGTTTTCAAGACTTGTGTATCATGCGCTAGGGAAGATAGATAAGACAGCTTACTGGTGATGCGTCCTTCCTAGGTGCCAGGTGATGTGATGTGTACTAGAGAAGATAGATACGTATTGGTGATGTGTCCTGGGTACCAGCTAGATTTTGGACTACACTCCGCAGCTGCGCCGAAGCTTGTCATGTGCCGACCACAAAAATTACTGGCTTTTGCGTAATCGTAGAGAAGCCGACACTATAAAATTCCAGCTCTATGCAGCTTTGGATGCTTTTTTTCAAAAGGATATCCAGGCACGTTGGCTTTTGCGCCGGTCACACTTCGCCTCACACACGGGGATAAAGACGGGCTGTGCATCGACCGCATCCTCTTGAATGGGCATGAAATTCACAGCGGCGCTAAGTGGTTTGATGTGCCCGACTATCGAAATGAAATGAGTCGTCTCGCCCAGGAACAAAAGTGCATGATGCGCGACACGAAGCTCGTCGAGAATACGACTTAGATAAGTGCGATCTTCATTCGCACGGTAGCAATACAAATTTTGCTGGATGCAGCTTCGCAAAAGCCTGGGCTACAGGACCGCATGGTAAAGGCGACTCACAAGCGGAATTTTTCATGCAATGTCCGCACTTCTTCGCTGCGACTAGATTCTGCAGCAACAGCTGCTTCAGTCCATTCATGCGAGACGGAGCTTTTCCACCACATTTGAAGTTTTACAATAGAATCACTCGGTGACGCTGTTGTTCCCGTGGCGCTTTTCAATTTGATATGTGCCCAGGATCCCAATCTCACTTTCGACAGCCTCAAACGTACAGTTTTCGCAGAGCAAACGTCGACAGTAATGCAAGCGCAAGCACAGCAGCCACAATCTTCCTGCAGCGCAAACTGTCTTTCACGACGGCTTTCGAGGAGTGGAAAGCCGGGTTTCTCAAACTTCAAGCCGCAGAAGCCGCTACGATCGCTGCGACTGTGTCGTTTGGCTGCAACGGCAACGACTACGAGGTAAATCCGACTAACCAAGTTACCACCGGCGGACAGCCGGCTTTCTACTGTCCAGGGCCGGGGCTGGAGTTGGTGCACTACGAAAGCGGATGTCGCCCCAAGTGCGACTGCGCTCACGGGCAAATCACCACCAATGACCACTGCCCCGCACCGCATGCGCAGCTGTGCCACAGCTGCACAAAAGCGGCAAGTGATCACCTGTACTCCATTCGTAACGTGGACCCAACGAGCGAAAGCAGCATTGCGTATCACTGGCACGCACCGCATGGTGACAATCTGTTCTATGAGAACCGAATGTGCTGGGCAGACTGTGCGTTGGTGAGCTGCCACTATAAGAACGCGGACAAGGCGTGGTTTCAGCACAGGTTAGAGGAGAATTCCGAGTCGGACCAAATCCGGTGGTGCAACGAGGCACGGCATGACCGAAACACGTGCGTGCAGGACCAGAATTGTTGTCAAAAAGGATGCGCGGAGCCAGCAGGTGCGGTGGCATACGGGATAAATTGGGAAACAGCCCTAACCAAGACGGAGCTATATCCAAGAGGTAAGTTTTGTGCAAAATACCACAGGAGAAAATAGCGCTAGAAAATTTAGAAAATTTCCGACAAAAAGTATCTCTGGAAGGGAACGAAAGATATGTGCTTGACAGTGGCTTAGTAAAGTCAGCAGACATGATAATTTATTTCGTAATTTCCTTGTCTGGGATTCACGACGAACCGGCAGTATCCACCGCAGTGTTGGGCGACATCGGCAGTATCTCGGACGCGCTGGAAGACCGGAGAAGTTCCTGCTCCTGAGCTAACTTCTCCCAACAGATCAATCCGGAAACCGACACGCTACGGGTGGAACCGCATAAAAAACCAGAGGTACCTATTATGAAACATGTAGAGAAAAATCGTACTTCATCACACCCTTCAAAATATTTGTAAGACAGGGGCATCAAAATTGGCACTTGATGCTAGCACTTCCACGATCCGCGTGTGGAGCCCAAGGGAGAACGTGGCAACGACAGTGAAGCATCAAGATTCTTGAGGAAAAGAAACTGGCAGCTGCGCCGACGACTGCGGCTGAGGAGCTTCTGAAGAAAAACCTGGGTGCGAACCGCATGCGAACGGTTTACTGGCGCGCCGGAACGCTGTGGCGGAAACCGGAGCTGCGTGGATTGCTGCACTGATTATCATGCAGCCCAGCATAAGCACCGTCTACTTCGAATATGAAGGCCGTCCACTTCTGCTCAAGAAAATGAATGTACTTGACCGAGTTTAGGGCTTGATGGGTTTTTAAGTATCTGTGCGGCATACCCAACGATATTTTTGCGAATTCAAAGATGAGCTCTTCGGGTTAAGGGCTTTCAGTCTCAATACGCAAGAAAAGAGAATACAAGCTAACGGCCTTTGCCACTTCACGAGCAGAGACCGGTGACTGTCGCGATTCATGATGTCCTTAGGTAGGCATTCGTAAGATGAGCTGCGGAAATCATTGTCTTTCCTCCACCGCAGCCTTGAATTTATGAATGTAAGTGCAAGCACAATCTTCATACGCGATGAGTAGCTGGTTTTTGCGACAGAGCAAGAGCGGACTGCGAGTTTGAGAGTTTTGAGTGAACCGTAGCTCCCCTTGCCTTTATTTTTCCCCAAGTAAAAAAATACGCCACCGCATGTGCGCACTGCTTCCGCCTTTGTTTTTGTATCTAGTTTTCTGGCGCTTGCAATACTTCCCTGCAGGACCCTTTTAATACTGTTCCGAAACTAAGAGTAACACTTTCACATGATTGATGTGTTCTGGCTCGAAAAAATTAGCTGCGGGAGCAACCATATATAAGACAAGCGATGAGCGTGTCCCTTAGTAGTGAGCCGCGAAGCAAGATGGCGGGCGGCCGGACTATCGACATCGTATCATACTGCAACACAGCCTCTCACGCCAGCACCTGTTTTGTCATGCGAAGGAATCCTTCCGGCGCCATCCGCTTCTCGGCGGTGGTTCTCGACTACTAAACACGATCGAAGGTGAAAGCCAGTGGACCAGTCGGTTGTGTAGTGATGATCGTGACAACATGCAACAGGGCAGTCTCCGTTAATTTTTGCGCTCCTGCAGCTAATACTTGCGCTCGGCGATTATCTACTAGAACCGATAACATCAAATCAAGCATGAAAATCCTATTTCGCGCCTTCTTCCTGACCAGTATGCATGCACAAGATTCCGCAAGCTTTAGCGACGCTGGGCGAAAATCTTTCGACCGAGGGTTTGTTCTCTATCACCTCGCGAGCACAGAGCAGATTTGCAACAACTTATAATGAGATCGAAGGTTGTGTCTTCTGGCAAGGCGATTTGACTGCCGGTTTGGGGGCTGGGGTATTCATTCCGATATGTTGAGCGCCACTTGAGGTTGGTGGAAAAGGCCTTTGAGAAGATACGAAAAGAAATTGACTTTACAAAATGCACTTGCTCGGAATTTGACAGATCTTGCGACGTCATCTACAAGCAAAGTCGATGTCGCGTAATGGAGGGCACGATGGAAGCGGCTAGATCTCCACACTAGTTTGCTCCCAGGACGACGCATGCTACAGATACATCATGAGTCGCGGATGCTGGATCCGTAGGAACTCATTCTGAACAATATACCTCCAAGTGCCTCCGCGTCCCGCTTTGGTTCTCACTATGAAAGTAGAAACAAGCACGCATGACGTCTACAACATTCTGGTGGGGGTTCGCCACTCATTTTTTTTTTTCTTTATCATGGTTCCAGATACAGGCAAGTGTGATATGGTGAAAAATTACTCAGCGATATTTGTGAATGGGCTGTCATCATCCGCCGAAGTAAAATGCTTTTGGCCTTTCCATACAAAGCATTAAATCGCGAACTCGCCAAGACTCGAGGACCCGTATCACATTAAAACCGGGACTGAAGTCAGATAATTTCGAGTTATGGCAACCAGAAAAGATAAAGATTTCATCAACGTTCATGCCGCAGAAAACTACTTACAACGTCGTATGTAGAGCCTGGCTCCAACTGCGGGCTCGCCTTAAAGCGCCGACTTGCCAGCCGCCCGCCCAAGCAAACTGGTGGGGGCGAGGCAAAATTGATAGACAGGAAATTTCCGGACAAAAGTATTTTCTGCAGTGCGAACACTTGCGGAGCTGCAACGAGCTGTAGCTCTGCCGCGAAAGCAAATCTGATTTCAATGAACATTTGACCGAATTGCATACTTCAAAATATTCCGAGAAAAAAAATGCGTTTAGCTTATTGGTCTTTGCTCGTGTAGACCTCTTCCGGAGTAGCTTTTTGTGCGACGCAACCCAGTATGTGCATAAGGCTTGTATTCAAAAGAAAGTGCTTTATCCGGGCGAGGCTTTTTCCACCTATGGAAAAGGAAGTGCCTTCCGGGGCAGATGTTATGTTTATGCGACGTGTCGGGGCCGTTCCTACACCCGATGTGTGCCTTTGCTGGCAGTACGTAGTCCAAATCTAGAGCAGCGCACTTTTGTTTCTCGATACTGCTACAGCAGTCAAAGCGATTATCTCCGGTAAGAAAATTTTTGTTTTTTCTCATGTTTCGAAGGCTAGTTTCAGCTCCTCGCCCGTTTTTATTTACACATTCGTATTTTCAGTTTCTTGATACAGTGATGCAAGCCGTGATAAAATTACAGCATCTCCGGCACGCGACTTTCCTCATCCGCATCAGCAAAAAAGATGTTCGTGCTTTTGTCGGCCTTCAAGTATTGACCACAAAGCAGCTCTCCCCCCCAGAACGCATAATTTTTTAATATCACGCAACGTTTACAAGCGGCGTGCAGAGCCGCGATTTCTTGACTTCGAAAATAAGCATGGGATTTATGCGCTTTTCTGAGAACAAGAAAGGTAATCTGGTCGACGATTGTCAAGTCCCAGAATCACACTCGACATGCAAGAGTGACATTCTACATGTGAAAACTTGTCAAGTGGGTACGCACAAGCAGATAGTCAATGTCCTGTTTGCAGAAAATGACTGCATGTGACAGAATTGATGCTCCTGCTCGTCTTGAGGGGTCATCACGAAGACGTTGCACCTCTTTCCAGGGCGGGATTGTTTTCAGCCTGATCCCGATGTTTTTGGAGAGTGCGTTGCAGAGCATGTCATTGAACACGCTCTAGAGATGTCTTCCGATGCGGAGATATCTCCCGAAGGATTTGCTCCAACCCAGACTCCAGGACAGTAGTCGAAATTTCTGAAGAAGTCAGTAAGTAGGGCCACACAAGATCGCGAGGCATGTTTCGCAGGGAATTTTTGCAAGAGGTGCTTCTAATAGACGTTCCTGGCGTGAGAATCTGGCCAATGTCACTCGGCAAGTAAGTGCAAAAAGAACAACTTTGATAAAAAACCAACGTGACTATCAGGCATGCTTCCCACAGCAAATGCCTATCCGACGTCCTTCTGTCGGCTTTAGTAATTGTTCTGCTTCTGTGGAAAGGTTACAGTGCTGGAAATGGGAATGCCTTGCAATATCATTTGTAGTGCAGACTTGCATCTGGAGCAATCGGTATTGGGCAGATCCCTTTCCCGTGTGACACAGACACACAGACGAGCCGGCAACAGAAGGACAAATCGACGACACCAAAGCTGTACCGAATGGCGCAAAGGTGGAGCAGATGACGGAAGTGTCCAAGTCCAGCCAGGGCCTGGTGGACACTGCCCCTGCGTCGTTCTTGGGGGAGGCCAACCACCTCACGCAACAGCAACAGGCGGTGCTCTCCACGAAACAAGATTTGGATTTGTTTTACGATCTCCAGTTGTACCTATTCCAAGAAAACGCGGTCGATGTTTCTGCCTCCGTGGAGAATCAGCAAGCCAAGAACGAGAATTTGATCTTGCGGGCCGGATCTGACATCACGCTGCAGCGATTGCACAGCAACGCCATGTGGCCTAAATTGGAGGTATCCAGGTTTCTTTTTCCTACCCATACCGTGATATTTGTTTGCTGAGTAGGATGAGTTCGTAATAAGGTAATCCGGGCACATTCAAACTGCGCAGAGTGGCAAAGTGTACAAATATGGGCATGCATGCCGATCGGATCAAGAAATAAAAACTGCGCAGCGCAACGTCGAGAAGCTTCTCAAGAGCCCAAGTATCCGCTTCTCTATACCGATATGGAAGTAAAGTTTTGACCTGCGTCGCATTTTTTGTTGCGGCACTATACTCATTCAAGATACCTCGACGCAGCAGCTTTCTTCTCGACTCTTATGGTGCATCAGATTTACTCTCTATCCAAATCTGCATCTCGAGGACACCTCCTTTGGAGAGCTGTATATATTTGATGAGGCCGGTCAAAGTTTTTTGAGCATGCACCATCACCAAGTTGGCCGAGTACCTGATTATGTTTGCAGAAATACGCAATGGAAGTATGCTGATGTCCAGGGAAGGCAAACCAAACTTGTAGAAAGGATTGCAAGGCCGCCGGGGTCGAAAAATGTCTGTTATTCCATGAGGCTGCTCAGTTTTCGACAACTACGCTGGCAAAGAGTTGCGCCCTCCCGTCGGACCTGAGCATTTATTTATACACGGCATTCAGGCTGGATAAGAATACCAATAACGAGTTGGATACCGGCGATATTTGCGTGATTATCTACCCCATTCCAGGCCGAGTGATAATTCTGTCGCCGCTAGACTACAGCGCTTTGCACAAGCGTCAGATCCACCAAGACGCCGACGTAAAAATTTGCGAGCATTGCATGCGCAAATGTTTATCATTTCATGCGATATTTATCGGAAGCCAGACGTAGCGAAATAGCTCCGCATAACGGCCACAACATCTCCAAACGTGGGCGAGGCTTTTTCACGAGCTGAATGAATAAAGGCACTCAGATGCCTAGCGTTGCCCGATTTGCACCCACTAATATCGACATTGTGGCGGCGCTGCATTAAATGAAACAAACTGCCACGGTTCACTTATACTCATGCAAGTGCCCTCGCAGCGTACCGTCCATGTAGGGCAGGCATTGTTGATAATTGCCATTCAGATTTTGAGCCAGAGTATCTCATATCGCGCAGAAATTAAGCCTCTGGAGGCTTCCGTGTGTCTACACAATAGTAGTCCTGCGCACGATCGGCACAAGTGTGGTGGTCTTGTCTGTATCCGTGTGGGTACACGATGCAACAAATATTGTGTGTTGCAGTGCAGGCATCAGGACTTATAGGCCTGATTTTACTTTCCAAATGATGCGCATGCATCTCGTATGTCTGGCGGCGTGTTGAGAATACAGTTGGAATGCCACCGCTTCCTCGGGGTGGGGGGCAGTTGTCATCTGGATGACCCATTCCGATCCAACAGCGGGCATCGAGTTGCGTCATTCAATTGCGGCACTTAGGCAGGTTTTCATGGCGATCTCCGGCCAGCCAGCAGCAGATGGCCCCGGTGGCGCATCGGTTTCCTTTCCGGAGTACGTCCAGAGTTGTGAGTACATCAAGGGGAATGAGATAGGCAGGAAGCTGGCGGATGGGGAATCCGGAAAATCGTTCCTGGACATTCAAAACTGGCGGGAATGGGTGCCTGGATTGGCGCCGACCGACCCGCGGCCTTTGTTATGTAAACAGGACCGCGCAGGCGTAGCTTTGATCCGAGCCTTACGTTTGTATGTACAAAGCGAGATCACGAACCTTGTAACCTGTCAGCCTGCCTGCCAGGTCTTGCCATACTCTGCAGGCATGCCGTTTTTTGACATGAAAAGCGGGCCAGTGCGCAAACTTTTTGCGGGCTTGTGCCAAACATATAGGCCCGCCGGAAGTTTATTGAGTAGCGCCTGAACGACAGAAGAGGGCGAGCCGCCAAGCGCAGCGGGCTTTTGAGGCGGTCGCCGGTTTGGATTCTGGCGAGCCCCTTGTGCTGCTCGAAAGCGCGCGCAGACAAATCGTGCGCGAAATGAAAGTGCCAGGGGGCCAATCAAGTCGCGCGGTAGGTGTGGGGCACGCTTTCCGCCTCTCTTCGCGCGCCCCCTGGGACAATCGAAGGCCTGGGTTGTTGGTGCCGCTGACTCGTGAGAGAGGCGTTGGCGCTTGCGCCAATATTCCATGCGGCCGACCATCTCCCGGCAGTGCGCTCGTCCGAGGGCGCCGCTTGGTGGGCTTGACCGCTGGGCCAGTGGTTGCCTGCGCATTTTTATGACCGCGGGGAGGGACGTAGGCTCTCGGGCTGCTTACTATCGTCAAGACCTGGTTTGCACTCCCCAGAAGATGAAGCTACGCGGGCGCCTCTGTTTGCTTTTACACAAAGCGGATGACGAATACTCTTCCACGGTCGCAGCCTACTGGAGTCCAGAAACAAACGACGCATACGACGCATGCCGTATTTTTATTGTGTGCGAATATCTACGATCCATAAGATCTTCAACGCGTTAGATCTGTGAGTTCCTTGTTGGTGAACCGGTACCCTTGTCCTCTTGGAACGCGATGTCACATTTCTAAGCGAGCACTCCCATCCTGTCCTCGCTAGGTCTACTCCATCGGGTAGAGAGGTGCTTGATGGTGGGACGGCAAGGGCTCAAGTGTTGTTCTTATCTGCGCGCATAGCTAATTATCTACGAGGGAAAAAGAGAAAGCCAATCAAATCAAAAGCAAACAGGTAAAGTGTGGCCCTCTCAAACCAAAAACAAAAACTAGTTAACCGCTGCTGGCATTATTCGCGACATCCATAGTTAACCGCTGCGGTGCGCTCGCTAATCCATGCATCGAGGCGGGTGGAGATTAACTCCCAACGCCCGCTCTCCCAATGCTCCACCGGGCGAGATTCATGCTAGGCCATGGCCAAGGTGCGCGGCATGTTCAGCCAGTGCATGCACTGGAGATCATGCCCGCAAACCAGGGCCATGCTGCCCGTTCTCTACACCTCTCTATCTTTCCCCGGGGCTGGCTTTCAGATACCCGCCCATGCGAGTATCTAAGAGCCAGTCGCCTCAGGAAGATATACCCTGAGCTTCTGCATCTGCTTCGCGCAGTGAGCATGCCCTCTGTGGAGGGGCGATTGCGTGGAGCAGAAGCTCAAGGCAGCGACGCACTGGGCTCACGCGGGGCCGGTATCGCAAGGGACCACGCAACACGTTTCCGCGGGGAAACATGCCGCGACGGGGACCTTCGGACGCGACGCAGGGCATTTTCTGAGGTAGAGAGCGTCGCTGGGGACCACGCGGCACGCTTCGGGCGAAGCGTGTCGCGACGGGGACCTACGGAGAGACACGACACGAAGCTCATAGTTTCGCCGTCGCGTCGGCAGGGACCGTATATACGCTTCGCTTGAAGCATGCCCCAATGGGGACCCAGGAGGTAGCACCAAGCTCCTGTGGAGAGGGTGCCTGGGTCACACAGCAGGCTTCGTGGAAGCGTGGCGCGACGGGGGGACCACAGAGCGGACACCAAACCCTTGCAGGGTTAGTGTCGACAGGGACAGGGACCGCGCAGCACGCTTCGTAAGAAGCGCGCCCCGAGGGGGACCTGCGGAGACCAACACACCACGCCGAGCCGTGGTGGAGTTGATGTCGACGGGGACCACGAACACGCTTCGCAAAAGCGCGTCGCGATGGGGACTTACGGAGACACGCGACGCCAAGCCTGCAGCGAGTTTGCAACACGCGTCGGCGGGGACCACGTGGCACGCTTCGCTTGAAGCGTGCCGTGATGGGGACCTACGGTCTCGTCTGGAGGCGGCGCGAGGGCCACGCGGCGTGCTTCTGCTTCGTAGAAGCCCGCCGCGATGGAGACCTCTCGGGCCGACACCAACCATGCCTTGCGAAGTTGGTGCCGGAGGGGACCACACAGCATGCTTCGCAAGAAGCGCGCCGCGATGGAGACCTGCGGAGACGACACCAAACTCCCGCGGAGCTGGTGTTGACGGGGACCACACAGCACACTTCGCCTGAAGCGTGCCATGGTCGGGACCTACGAGGCAGCACAAAGCGCCCCTGCAGGTGGAGGTGCCACAGCGCCGAGCAGCATGCTTCGAAGAAGCGCGCCGCAGTGTAGACCTGCGGAGCCGACACCAAGCCCCTGCGGACTTGGTGGCAACGGGAACCACGCCGCACGCTTCGTTCAAAGCGTGTCGGGCGCGGGACCTGTGGAGACGACACCAGGGAGCTCCTACTGCGGAGCTGGTGTCGACGGGGACCACGCAGCGCACCTAGCCAGATGCGTGCCGTGATAGGGACCGGCGCAGCGTGCTTCTCTCGAAGCGTGCCGTCACGGACACGCGAGCACACGGCGCCAGGCCTCTGTCCGAGGCGCTGGCGCTGTGCGGCAGGGGGCGCACGCGCTGCCATGTCGTGCAGATCTGCGCACAGCAGCAGCACTACCTTGGCTTGCGTGTCGCGCGCCCTCACTTGCTGCTCGCGCAAGTGGGACTCATTGATTTGTTGAGCGCGGCTTGCGGCCACGCCCCAACTGGGGCGCGGGTCGCGTGGCGGAGTGCGGTAACGCGCGTCGTCATTGGAGTGCACCTGCTTGCCAGCACATCCAACAAAGACCTCCCGGGCGTGCAGCTCGGCTTGCGCCGCAGCACAGCCCGGGAAAGCGTTTCCGAAAACTCTCGTGCGCGCCTTCACTGGAGTGCACCTGCGTGCCAGCGCCTCCAGATCCGACCTCCCGGGCGTGCACCTCGGCTTTCGCCGCAGCACCACCCGGGAGTGCGTGGCAGAGTATGGCCGGCGCGTCTTCACTGGAGTGCACCTGCGTGCCAGCACCTCCAGCTTAGACCTCCAAGGCGTGCACCTCAGCTCTCGCTGCAGCACCACCCCGGAGTGCGTCGCATACATCTGCCGCCTCGCGCGCCTTCACTGGAGTGCACCTGCTTGCCAGCACCTCCAGATCCGACCTCCCGGGCGTGCACCTCGGCTTTTGCCGCAGCACCGCCCGGGAGTGCGTGGCAGAGTGCGATCTGCTCGTCTTCGCTGGAGTGCACCTGCGTGCCAGCGCCTCCAGCTTAGACCTCTAGGGCGTGCGCCTCAGCTTTCGCCGCAGCACCACCCCGGAGCGCGTCCCGCACATCTGCCATGGCTACTCTCTTTTATTTTTTTTTTTGGTGATAAACGGCGCAGGGCCGCCGCGGGTGTGTACTTATTCCAAAGCCAGACCGTGCAACACCACACGCAGAGGGGAAACGACAACACGCGCCCGGCGCGCGCCGTTGCCCCTACAGCGGTGTCGCTCCCGTTAGCTGGCAGCGCTTAACCTCATTTCGCTATTGATCGATATGTTGGACGCGAAATACCAAATAAAATAGTTCGCATGCGTGACGCTCTTGCATTCCCCCCTAAATTCTCAAAACTTGACTTTTATTGTTTGCGTTTTCCTGGCTGTTTAATGTATGCCCGGGCAGCAGGAGTCTTGTGAGCCTGTGAGCCAAGGCTGAATTGTTTCATTTAATATTGCCCCCGCCCTCGCCTCGTTATGGTGCCCAGGGCTTCGGGATGTAGATAGTTGCCAAGCCCTCGGGGTCTGTGATTTTTGTCCCTCCCGCCGCATTGCGTGTGTGTTTTTGGTTGAGATTTGTATTTTGCACCAGGCGGCTGCGCGGATCGATCTCGATAGAGTCTCGCGCCTATAAACGGACAGAGACCCTTGCCATCCTTCTAGCCCTAGAGGCGTAGGCTAGGCCTGCCATCGAGCCGCTCCCGTAGGCTCAGCCAGAGGCCCCCGGGGCGGCGTCTGGCGTTATTGGCTGGCTATCGGATTCGGGATTTTCGAAAATCCCAGAGCTGTGGCGGCTTGGTTTTGGGCCAGGCATGTGCCCCTTGCCCGGGCCCCTCCAGCCGGGGCCCGTGTGTCTCTTTATAGGCGCCCCGCCGGTGTTTCTCTTGGTGCCGCCGTTTTTTTGTTCCCCGGGTTTTGTGCAGCGCCGGCCCTCCGGGAGGCGTCCGGCGGAGCCTAGGGCGAGAGGTTTCCGGGATGGGCTTCGCGCTGCGATTTTTCGAAGCGTGGCGAGCGTGTCTTCTTTGGTATTTCGCAGCCCCCCGGGCCGGGTCCCGCAAGGAGCGGGCGCGCGCCCTCTGCCGTGGTGGTTCTGTTTGGTTTGGGTTGCGTTGCGCCCGTGATTTGCGACGTCATCCGGCCAGGCGCAGGCGGCTCGAGTTGTTCCGGCCGTTTCCTCGTTTTGGGAACCCGGCCACCAGTTCGATCGGATGAACCCATCCCGTCGAAGCATTCGGATGGGCCCAAAATTTTCGGGATTCCACCGCGCCCGGCAGGGGGGAGCGTCTTCGATTCGGCGGGGGGGGGTTCTGTTTTCCCGTGGAAAACATCGGAAAAGGGCCCCCGGCGGGCCAATGGAAGGGCTGCAATAAAAGTCGGGAGGGCGGCAAAAGAGTCGCAGGCCCGATCTGAATAGAAGGCCAAGAAAAGGAGTTCCATCAGTAGACCCCTAAATAGAAGGCGGAGGAGCAGCCGGAAAAGAAGCCCCAAGAAAAGGACTTCCCGGGATCTGCTTCGTTTTTCCCTGTGCCGTGTTTCGCTGGCGTTTTTTTTTTTTTGTTTTTTGGGTTTCGTTTTTTGAAATTTGGCCGGGAAATTTTGTCGGGGGGGGGCGCCCCGGTGTCTCGCCCTCCCCTTCGGCGAGCAGCCGCCCGCAGATAGAAGGCGTCGGGACATTGAGCCGCGCCGCCCGCGGCCTTCCCAGTTCGCCGCCCCGGCCCTTCTTCAGGTTTTGGCAAGAGATTCGGAATGTGCAAAACCCCCGCCCGCCAGCCTTTCCGTTGGCTCTCCGTTTGCCCGGGAGGTCAGCCGTGTTCTTCGATCTGTGTCAAGTGGGGCCGGCCTCTTTTCCTTGGATTCCGTGTCTTTGCAAATCCCGACGCCGATTGTCAATCGATAACCTACGCCACCGCCCCGGGGCCTCTGGGTGGCCGCGCCTCCGACGGCCAGCCCGCGCGGTTTGATGCCATGAGGGGGCAGCTGCGCCGTGTGAACCCAAAAGGCCTGGCGCGGCCCCCAGTTCCGGTTGTTACCGGTCGCGGTGCCGCCGTGAATTGTTTGGGGCAGGCGCTGCCATGTGTGGCGAACGAAAGCCAAAACGCTCGCAAAGCTGCACAGCCGAACGCGGGCGCTTTGCCGTGGCAGCTCCGACATGGAGGGCCCTGCCGTATGCCTTGCCCCGCCCTTTTACAGAACGCCCACCGGGGCCCCCGCACCCAATGGCGCCGAAGGCGCTAAGGTGGCCGGCCCATGTCCTTCGCCCTGTGTTCGGACCCCCACCTTTCCGAAAGGCCGCAGGAGTTCTTCTGGTTGCCGCTTTCGCGCGCGCGGGCGCCCCGCCCGCCCCGTGCCTCCTGGAAGCCCGTGCACCGATGTGAACGGAATTCGGCCCGGCCGCCGGTCCGGTCCCGTGCGTCCGAGGCTGACCGGCCCTGAACAGTTTGCCCGAGCCCGCCGTGGCGCCCCGGCGGGCCCCTACTTGGTTCTGGGGTAAGACTGCTGCCACGCGACAGGGCGCTCGGGTTTGACTTTGGCCGCGGGTTTTGACGTTGTCTGGGCGCTCGCTGTGTTGCTGGCCCTTCAGATGAATTTCGCCTGGGGGTGTTCTGATTCGCCGGCCGGGCGGCCTTTGGCTGCACTTTGCCCGATCCAACCGCAGGCATATTCGCCGCCGCCCGATTTTCTTTGGATACCCACCAGGCGGCTGCGCGCCTGCAGGCATCCATGCTGCCAATTGGGCGACTGCCTGGTGGACTGGCAGACGCCGAAAGCTGCGGCATCTTGCCCGGCAGACTGCCGGAGATGTTGACCAAGCAAATCGGTCCCACGGCGGGGCATATCGCTGGACTGCAGCCCAGCAGAAGATCGCCTCTGTCGCGCTGCGTGCCGAGTGCCTTGCGCGCGAAGTTTTTTTTTCTGATTGCGGGGTGTGTAGGGCACATTGAAGCACAGTATTGGGACCCGAGCGAATCGGTTGCCTGGCGGGTCGCTGGGGAGAGTGCGAGCCTAACCGGGGCCGGCAGGGCTGTGTTGCAGCTCAGAGCCCCCGTGCGCACATTATCGTGCGCACTGCCGTGCTCGGCCCCCGCCGCCCCGCAGGGTGGCGCGCACCGCTTCGATCCATTTCATTTGAAAGGAGAGCGCTGTCGCTGTTCGTGTTGTGTGGCAGTGCATGCGCTGCGATAACCGACCACAGGCTACTCACTCAAACAGGGCTCCGGGCCGGATTGGAGGAAGCGAGGACGCGAAGGGCGGCCGTGCAGCGAAGTCAGAGAGGTATTGGTCTTTGTTCGGTGTTGCTGTTTGTGTTTTCTTTCGGACGCGAGTGATAGAGAAAAGCGCGCAGCGCCGGCGCTGCCTTGTTTGTGATTGAAAGCCAGGGCCTACCCGGGAAAATTGGGAAAACAGGCTGCCCCGGGGTATTAAAAATCTGAGGAATTTGATTGCAACAGCAGGCCCCGCTAGGCGTTTGGCACAATCCTGCGGAAGGATTTCTGTGTAATTTGCGCCCATGCCGGTGTAGCACGGCGCCGGAAGGCCGCCGGGGGGCGGAGGCCGCATGCACACGCCCTGCGAGCTACTGAAAGGAAGGCGCCAACCCGGCTCCGCGATCGCCCTCGCCCCCCTTTCTTAGCCGCGCCAGCGGGCCGTGCGCTGGCCGCCGCCGCATGCGGGGGCCCGCGGGGCGGCTTTTGTGCCGATGCCTGCTCCAAAAATGCCGCCGCCCCAACGGCGCCGCGCCCTGGAAAATGAGAAAGCCAGGAGGTACGCCCGGAGCGCCGCGCGCCCCCGCCCCCCACATAGACACAGGTAGCCACTACGTTGCCGCGCACCGGTAAGCCGGCCTTGCATAGAAAAACAAAAAAGCCCGAAAGACATCGGCGCCTGGACCATATCGCCAGGCGCGCCGGGGCATTAGGATTCACTCAGGAGGCGCTCGCAGCGCCCGAAGAAAAAAGTGGCGCATTCAGTGTGGGCGGCGAATTGCAGTCAGAACGGCGCCGCCCACACGGAGAGCCGCTAGGCCGCGCATGGCGCACACAGAATGCACCGTGGGGCGCGCGGCAACGTGGCTGCGTGATTCCATCGCCCAAACAGGGTCCCGCAGTGCGAGCGAACTCCGCGCGCCTTTAAGGTGGTTTGCTAGCTGCTGCGGGGGGCCGATTATCCACGCAGGCAAATGCGATGGCGCGCGCAAGGCATTTGCAAACACCCTCCCGGCGCCTGTTGCGAAGGGGCGCGCGGCTCGACACCACCGCCAGCGCAGGATGAAGCAAGCCAGGACAGAAAGGGCGAAGGCGCTGCTTGCGGGCAATTCTTTTCCGGGCTTCGCGCCGCGCCGCGGTGTCGTACCTAACTAAGCCTGCTCGCGCCCTTGAATAAAAGAACGCGGCCGCGCGCACAGTGTGAAGCATTTCGCGCTTCGGGTGGCGGATTGTGGAGGGGATCCCCCCCCGCGCACGGCAGCGCGCGGGGGGGCCGCGTGCTTCTATCGCTTTCGCGGACCGGGGCGCAAACAACTACGAAAGAGCGCGCAGCGCGCGACTAGAATTAGCTGGCTGAACTTCGCCAGGCGAAATCCCAAAAAGGCCCGGCCGCCCGCCCGGGGAAAATGAATCAATGGGAGCGCGGTTTTCATAACGCCAGAGGACTTCGCCGTGGCACTTAGTTTGCGGCCCGTGAGCACAGGCGCCACCGCCCTAGTGGCCGCCCGGAGCAGCGCGCGCGGTTTTTGTTCGGTCGCCGGGGCTTGTCCGCCTGCGTAGGCTCGCGCAGGGGAATGCGGCGCAGGGCGCGCAGCGCTTGCGCATGCGCATCGTGCGGCAGGTATGGGCCCGCCAGCGCCATTCACCTGGCATTGAAAAGCTTCCTTCCGGCGGCGTGCGCGCATGGGCTGGCCAGGGAGGGCCATGGTGGAGATGCGTCGAAGGGCCCGCCGGCCGTTGTGTCGCGGGCGTTGTTCTATTGGGCGGGCTCGTAGGCCAGGGCACCCGGCGCGGAACTTTGAACCCCACGCCCAGGCTCCCGGCCCAAACGGGGCCCGCGCTCTCGGACCGGAGCCAGCTTGGCCGGGCGGCGGCGGTTCGGTATGGCGAGCCCCTTTTGAAGAAATAATGGAAACCCCGCGCCGCAAGTGTGGCGAAGTAAGTCTTGCAGTCAATTTGCGGCCGCAAGCTTCTCGGCGCGCCGGCGCCTGAATTGCAGCCAGCACTGCGCACGTTTGCCGGCCAGCATTCGATGGCAGCCCGGGAAGTGTGGGGCATCGGCCCCTTTGGCGGTTATCGCAAGGCGGGAAGAGGGCCGGCACGCAGCACGGCGCGGCGGCTGTTTTTGCAGTTGCCAGCAGCAGCCGCGGCGCCTGTTTAGATTCCAGAGGAGTTGCATCGTGGGAAGGCCATGGCGGTGCTCTAGAAGTGCCCTCGCGGCCTGTCGCCTGGACGCCGCTGCGCCCTGTTTCGCTGCGCTGCCTAACTTCTTAGAAAAGTGGGCGCATCGGTTTCGTCAACATGGATGTGAGGGAACGAAACTCCACAGAGCGTCAGGCGCGGCGCGAACAATTCGGCGCACTCATGGACGAAAGGCAGGCGAGGACCCGGGACAGGGCAGCGCCATTGCGGGAGCGATTTAATCCGGAAATCCGCGCGCCGCCATAACCCTAAACCCAAACCATAAATCGCGAGAAATTTCCCTACGTTTCCGCGTACCTGATGGCGAGCGATGTAGCGAAGTGAGTGTGGTCGTTGATTCAGTTGATCACATTCCGGGGCTTGGGAAGTTTGTGTCTCGCCTCAGATTGAGGGTGGTGGTTGGGTCGATCGTATTTCAGTGTGAGTCCGATGCAGATTGTGATCGCGATGCCACCCTAGACCTCGACGGGCGGATGAAATCGCATTTCAAGAAAAAGTTGTAGTTGTGTTGCTGCGCACTCACGATGTTGTTACGAAGCGAAGCACCTCACTAACGAATGGCCTCTCTGAAACTTTTCCGGAAGCGCAATACTCTCTCGCTACTTCATGCTTTTGGAAGCATGCGTTGACTGTCGACGACGTTTCCAAGGCTGGTACGTGGACAATGAAATCCGAAGAGCCTATTCTCGGAGACGCAAGCAAACCTGGCACCCTGAAACTTGCCGGGCCAGAACGGCTTCCCTACTTTTGATAGCTGTGAGTTGCGCGAGTAGATCCAAGCTCTTGGCCCAGATTCTCGAATGCAAGTGCGTGGGACTCAGGGCTAGGCAGTTCAGTTCCCCAAGAAGATACTCGATTCAGATTCATTCTCGAGATACGTTGCGCAGATCGTTTCCCGGTTCAGGATTTGGATTTCGTTTTCGATTCTGGATGTGATTTCCCGACCCTTATTGCGTTTAGATTTGGATCTCGTTCCGGTTCAGATTATCTTCTTGCTCAGATTACGGCTCTAATAATGATGATAGTTCTTCTATGGCGCGCTTAAAGTCGCGTTTTCAAAAGTCATAGTTTTTTTTTTTTGCTAGTCTTCAGGCACTGGCGCCGATTTTAATGCCCTGCCGATATGAGAATAGGGTCGCCCGAGCTGGCGCGCATAAATGCGATAGCACTGAGCCCCAGGAAGGCAGTTCGGACGGCGCGCAAAAGAATGCCTCGCCGCGATCCTTCGTGGCGCATTCCGCGATGCAATTTCAAAAACCCCGGGGCCGCTTCGCCTCCCCCCGCCGCCTAAAGTTCTGAGCAAAGGAAAGGCGACGCGCCGCGGCTTAAAAGCCGAGCCCCGCCACAGTCTGGCGCACTTGCATGTAGTCCCACCAAGGCCCGGAAAGGCCCGGCCGCCCCACATGCGCCGCTCAGCTTGGTTCTGCATGTCAGCCGGGGCGCCGTGGCCTGCATGAGGGCGGATACCAATGCCGCCACGCGCCACACCGGCAAGATGCGCCTCGCGGCCGCCTCATGAGCCAGGCGCGCCGGCAAGGCGAGGCCGGCCCCTTCGTGGCGGGCCGTGGAAGGCCACGGCGGCGACGCCCTTTAAACAGGAAGCGCGCAGCCGCCGGCTGCGCCAAGTAGCGGTGGCGCCTTCCGTTCGGCGAATATTCTGAATGCCGCCAAGCGACCGACGGAAGACCAATATGCCAGCAAGCCACCCCAATCGACCCGGGGCCCGAGATTATGTGGCCCCGACGACCTTTGCTGGTGTCCTTCCGGGGCAACCTCCGCCGGCCCCATTCCGGAGGCCTCTTCAGAGGCCTCCTTGGGGGGCCTAGTTAGCTCGGGATTGCATGAAATCCAGGGGGGGTGATCCGGAGGCCATCCGGGCCGCCATTGTGGCCCACCAAGGGCTGCCCCAAAGGCCTCCGAAAGCGGCCCCAATTCAGTTGGAGGGGCGTGGGGCCGCGCAGCTGGCTAAAAAATGGCTAATTTTTTTCTGATTTTTGAAAACTCCGCGCGGCGAGGTAGCCGGTCGGGCCTCTCGTTTGCCGGTTGCCCGGCCTCCGCCCATTCCGGAGCCCGCGGCCATTGCCCTTGGCCCCGGGCTTCATCGTGTCAGCTTCGGCCCCCCCTTGCATGGATGGGCCGCGCCCTTTTTTGTTGCTCTGGTTTGCCGGGTATGGTTGGGCATTTGGGCCGCCCCGCGTAGTTCGGTGATTCAGGGCATCGGCCGTCTGGTTTTTGCATATTTCCGCGCTTTCTGTGGTTTTGCATGGTTTCGGGCCTTATGATATTCGACAGCGGGATAGGGACGAAAATTGTAGTCGTGGCAGCCGCCATGAGCAGCAGTTTTCGTCTCTTTTGTTCTGTCTGATGTAAGCTCCTATCTGTATTGCTTTCTATCTCGGCCTTCGGTGTTTGTTGCTCTGTTGTGTTTCATTTGCCCTACGGAAGAGGATCCACGTTCGTGCACATGTCGCCTGCTATCTTCAGTTTTGGAAATGGACAGGTTCCGGACCTGTCCGTTTCCAAAACTGCGGCACTCGACCACTTTTCGCCTCATGGATATCTTCTAAATCTTCTTCTAAATCTGCTTACAAGGGATTTCCTTAGGGAAATCAGTGTACTGCAGATTTAGAAGAAGGTGAAGAAGGTGTCCATCAGGCGAACATGTTGGTCGAATCAGAAAAAAGATAGTAGGCGATTTAGAAGGTGGATTTAGAAGGCAAAATAGAAGGCGAATTCAGAAGGAAAAATAGAAGGAAATTTAGAAACAAAAATAGAAGGGGAAAAATAGAAGGAAATTTAGAAACAAAAATAGAAGGCCCTTCCATTTTTGTTTCTCGATCATGGCCCCAGGTGGTTGTTGGGTTGGGTTTTGTCTTCGGGGATTCCTATATGGATTTCGTCTGGAATTCCTTCTGGGGATCTGTCTATTTGGTTTGGGGTGTTTCTGACCGGGGCGTTGAGGCTCGTTCGAGAGAGTCGACTCGTGTCGAGGACACGACCGGCAATAACATGTTTTTCCCGATGCCGCTCTTCGAGTTCGCTCATACATTTTGCATTCTAGTGACACTTCATCCAGAATAAAATCGAATGGATCTATCCTGGAGGTGCAAAAAAACTATTCGAAAACTATGAAGATTCTCTATCGATTTCGATAACGGATTCGCAATCTAATCACCTATTCTCGCATTACAGATTCAAAATAAATCAGAAATAAAAATCGAAACCAAAAGCAGGAGGAGTCGATAATTAACTTCTGAAAATGACTTCTGGAAACAGGTGCGGATTGTCGATTTGATTCGTGGTTTCTCGTCCTGGGGGCTCGCGATCACAGGACTTCTGGTGAAAATCCTGGGAAATCGAGCTTTCCCCGACCTAACAGGACACTTCGATAGATGAAAATCTATCTGATTCTATTCGAAAACCAATAAGAAATCAATCCGAATCACGATACTACTTTAGAATCAATAGGGTAAATCGATTCGACCGATAAATTCGTATTTTTAGTCGCGATTCAGATATTCTAAAATCTATAAAGTCGATCCTATTTCTCTCCTCTATCCTGATTCCCGGTCAGAATCTCGATTCGATCGGGATTCGATAAAAAAAATAAATGAAATTATCTAAAACCCACTTCTGATTCTCGATCAGATTCCGCCTCGACTCGATGGAAAGTGAAAAGATAAACCCTAATTATGATTCCGAATCTTCGAAGATGGTGTTCAGCGCGCGCCAATCACCATCAATTTACTTGATTCCGATACCCGATTTCCTCGATGGATTTCGATAAAGGAATAAATATATCTAGGATGATTCGACTCGGATTCCCATTGGGATTCTCGAGAATCAAAATAAGAATGAATCTAATCGATTCCGATTCTCGATGGGGTTCACGAGAAACAAATAAAAGAATAAACTCTACCTATCTCGATTCTGATTCGAATTCCGGATGGGATTTCGATAAAAGGAAACAAATGGGCTCTGATTCCGAGTCGATTCCCGATGGGATCCGATTCGGGATAGAAAAATAGAAATCAATTCCCGATGGGATTCACAATAAACAAAGAAAGGAATAAATCTAATCTATTTCGATTCTGATCCGAATTCCGATGGGATTCGATCAAGAATAAATAAAATCTATCAGAATACCTCCTAGATAGGGCGAAAACCTAAAATATCATTACTCGAAATATTGCATGACAGATTCGATATTTTTTTTTCTATGCCTGAGATCCGACCGAGATTACGATTACGAATAGAAAAAGGAAAATGAACACAACTAAAAAGTCCGATAGTTAGGGTGTGCAATCGCTTCTCAATTCGATTCGATGTTTTTTCTTCAACAATCCCTCCCGGGATGCGAAATAAATTCTTGAGTTCAGGCGCCTGTCAAAATGGAAAAGTGTTCATCTTCGTCGTGATTGATCCATTGATTTTTTTCATTAGAAATCAATCCGAATTCGTTCGATTTTCGTTGTTCTTTTCTCGTTCGATTTCAGAAGTGAAGTCAGGTATTTTGTCCGATTTCCATGGTGTTTCGATCTAAAATTTTCATCTAGAAAGTGTGTGAAAATTTTAATCATTTTTGGAAAAGATTTCTTGTTTCATTTTCGAGCGATCCTCCATTGTCGATTTGATTGATCCCCAAAGCAGAACCTACCGGATCGATTTCGTTTGAATCGCGATCCGGCTTTTGATGTGTGTATCAAGGCCTCTCTTCTGCTTGGGGAGTCTATCAATGTCGACATCTGGTGGGCTCGATTTTAGGTATAGAAGGATAAAATTTCTAAAATTATACATGTGGTTTTTGCTTTTCTTCATCATCCTATGAAAATATAAAGAAAAGTAGTTACCTCTATGCAGGTTCTGGTGAGTTCTGGTCTTTTCGAAAAAAATGATCTTGAAGGAAATCGCATGGCAATCTTGAAAAGAAAAAAAATCACAAATCATACATCTAAATCTTACAAGTGATCAAAATACGCATGCTCTTCTCCTTCTAGTCTGTTCGTTTCTTCTGTTTCCCCGATGACAGTGCCGATCCGATCGCGACGAATGCCTCCGAGCTATCGGATCCGGATTGCCGTCGGTTTTGGGTTCTTTTTCAGTAGTGAAAGTCTTTGAAAGTAGTCTAGTTTCCATATGGTTTTTCGCCTCTCTTTTGCATTCATTCCGGGGCGAAAATTAGTCATAGTATAGGCTAGATCTAGGGCATTCTAATCGTAATTGCGGTGCTAGTAGGCCTACGCAGTCACTTCAGTTTCCTCATCTTCCCCCACCCGAATGTGGCTAATCAGGATCTGGTGGTCGATTCCCCGTCGGGTTCCTTTGATTTCCAGCGTCATGGAGGGCGGGCAGCAGAAGAACTCCTTCGTGGCCGGTTGCAGTTGGTCCGGGCGCTTTTCGGTGGTTGGTTTGTTCTTCAGTGGTCCCCGATTGGCATCCTGGGCCTCTTTGTTCAGGACGATGTAATCAACAGCAAAACCGGTCTTGTCATAGGTGCAGAAAGTCCAGCTTCGTTTCCCGTGCGTCACCTGAAGTGCCTTATTCTCGGTCCCCAGCAGTTTCTGGATACTGGCGGTTTCCTGGCGGGATGTAGATGGGGTTTCGCGGTTGTGCCGACCGTGCAGGCCGTAGATCGATCGGTCGATCACTCTGTTGAAGTCGCCGACGAGGATCCGCTTTCCCGGGCCGGCGAGCCACTGGCGCAGGTTCAGGTCCCAGGCCTGGGCCTGCTTGATGCGGCGCAGCTCCTCCATCGCGTTCACGCTGTACACATTCCCGAAGGTGTGCTCGCCCCCGACAACAATTTCCTGGAAGCGACCCTCATGTTGCACTTCGGACTCGAATCGGGTCGCGCCAAAGTATTCGTGTGGGAGGTCTCTGCGGGCGAGGGCAGCAGTGGACGAATAGCCGATCTTGGACACGCTCGGGCGCAGGTAGATCGTGTAATCGGAATCCAGTGCATTGAGCGCGTCGCGGGCTTTCGTTTCCAGCGATGGGGAGACTTTGGTCTCTTGCAAAAAAATCAGGTGGGGCTTCGTCTTCAGAATTTCTTCCAGGTCAAGCAGCCTCGGGCCGCTTTCGATCGAAGCAAACAGTCCATCGAGATTGTAGGAGACGATCACGATTTCCCCCGGCGGGAGGATTTCCGGCTGGCGACGCAACAGGGGCGGGCGGGCGGGCCACTCGCGGTCGAGCGTTCCCAGCTTCACGAGTTCCTTTACGCGCTTCGAAACTTCGCCGGGAGTCAGGGCGGCAGTCAGGTATGCCAGGATCGCAGGCTCCGTAAGCGGGAGGGCACGAACCATCGTGATCGCCTGAGGTTGCCCGAAGCGGATTCTGCGGCCGAGCAGGCAGCCAAGCACGACCGAGTTGGCATTCCGATGCTGGACGACGAAAATCCGGGGCAGAAACTTCATTTCGTATTTGGACCGATCGGGTTTCAAGCGGATCACCATGTCGCCGGCAATTAGGTCCTTGTTGACGGTTTTCTGGGCTTCGCGTTTCACGCTCCGGCCGTGGTTGAAGATGCGGCTCGCAACAGCTTCGAAGTCGGTTTCTCGGCGTTTCTTGATCGCGAGCGAAACCTCATCGAGCAGATCCCCCTCGACAGTTGTGGAGAAAACAGCTTCGTTGGCGGCGATCGGCGCTGCAGCACCCCAGTGCCGTTCGACCAGAGATGCACCGGCATAGCTGCCCCGCGGTTGGATTCCGAGGAGGTAGCCAGCACGGCGGACATGGTCGGACCAGTTGGAAGGCAGGAACGCCATCGCATCTTCTTCCTGTGCTTCGGCTTCTTCGGCTGCTTGTTTCTTCCCTTTCGGGCCGCGCTTCACGTTGATCTTTTTCTTCTCGGCCACCAGTTTCATATCCGGGTCGTCGAGGACAACAAACAAAAACTCGCCGTCCATCGTGTTTCGTCGCTCCAGTCGGAAACTCGGTGGGGCCAGGGCGTGTAGCAGGCGGATCAGGAAGTTGAGAAGGTGGTGAGGGTGTTCGACCATCCAGTTTCCGGACGCGAGGTAGTGCGGGCTCTTCCAGGTCTTGACCTCGTGCAGGGGGTCGATTTTCTGGATGAGCGCGTTGAGGGTGTCCAGAAATAGACGCCCGAAATGCGACCCGTTGTCGCATCGGATGTAGGAATACAGTGTGAAAGTTGCCAACATCAAGCGGAAGACGCAGTCGGCGGCCGTGGCTGCCGTCGCGTCCGTCGTCGGCTCCGCCCATGTCAGCTCGCTCCGTCCGTCGGTGGCCGTGAAGATGCTGCTGAACTCGTCACCGGAAGCAAGGCCACAGATGTAATCGATAAACAGCACCTGTCCCCGGTGCCTGAACAGCTCCAACCGTGGTTGCAGTCGCACTGAGCTCGGGCCTTGCTGTGCGTAGGGGCTGAGGCTGCAGTAGATGCATAAGGATACGATCTTGGCACAGAGGTCCAGCAATCCGCCCTCGACAAAGAAGCCTTTTCGCAGTGTTAGGTGGTAGAGGATGCCTTTCCGTCCGTGCGAAACCGCATGGATCGCACTGATCACAGCAACGGCGATGCTGGTATGGTCATAGGTCTGACCCTCGAACACAAATTCTTCAGGTTCCACAAGAGTGGGGAGCAGGATCTTCCAGCCGTGGAGCGGGACTCGGAACTGCAGGACGTCGCCGCAGAGTCGGTAGGACGGGAGTCGCTCCAGCATCGCCATCGCCTTATTCCGTTTCGGGCGGAGGCCATGCTGCTTCGCAACCGCGAGCAGATGGGCGATCTGTTCCTCTTCTTCCTCGGATCGGGCGACAGCCTCGAAGGCAGCAAACTCCAGGACGAACTGGCGCTTCTGGGTCTCCGTTAGAACTTTCTTGAAATTGGGCTCCAGGTGCAGGTGGGCGATCAGCTTCCGCGCGAACAAGAGGTAGATCGTGTTCGGCCTCCGTTTCTCGAGAAAACTGTCCCCGACCACCAGAAACATCAGAGCACCGCCCCACCGGCGGATCTTTCCTTCCATGATGTTTCCTTCATCGTCTCGCGCGACCCGGATCTCGACGAACCGCGTCGCATTCTCGGCGGTATAGGTTTCGTCTTGCCCTTCGCCGACGAGAATGTGGATGGTGGACCAGAGCCACTCGGTCGAACTCGCGGGGAAGATAACTCTTTCGAGTTCCGTCGCGGTTTTCCAAAGGATGGAGTCCGCCTGGGCATCTTCGTCAGGCAGTTCGTCCCCGGGCGTCGATACTACAATCTCCGAGGCGTCGACAGTTCCCAGGCTGTCAAGGAGTGCGTCGAGTTCCTTCGCGCCTTTCTTCGGCGGCCCCATCTCGGGCGGCTCTGCTTGAATCTCGACCGGATTCTGTCCGTACTCCACTTCGACCGACGGGGACGCATTGGCAGGCCCGCGATCGCAAAAACATTGGAAAAGGAAATAGTTCTTAGAGTCGAAGATCACCCTTGCAGTCGGGCAGGACGGGTGCTCGTCGTCGTACAGTCTGGCGCCGCGTGGGAGGTGCATGCTCCGCGAGAACCAGACCGACTCTGCGTCCAGTTCCGCACGGGGTGGCAGGATTTTATACTCTCGCCATGTTTTGCTAATAGGGTGGGATAGGTCGTGGCCGAGCATCTGGCGGATCAGTCGGTAGGCCCGCTCAGGCGGCCCGGCCTTTTTGTTTCGGTTCGTGAACCCATATCGAAGCCACCGGTCACCACAGGGTGGGAGGATGTACTTCGGGCGGAGGGTCACGACAAGATTGTTGCCCCGGACGTCGTCCTTCCGGCGGCAGTGGATGTGGAAAGCCCATTCGGGAAGCCGGAGCGGGACGACCTTCTCCTTGCTGTCGTCGTCCGGATTCAGCAATTGTTCTTCATCCTCCGGGGGGAGAAGATGCTGGTCCGCGTCCGGGCTTGCCGCGGGGGCGTTGGCGTCCTCCATGAGAACATCTTCATCATCAAAAATATCATAAATGCGGTCTGTTTCATCGTCTTCGTTTCCCTCTTCGGTACCTGTTTCGCCGTGTTTGCAGACGTTCCGCCCGGTGGGGCTTGCAGTGACTTCGTCGGCCAGGGCGGCAGCAGCGATCGCAACTTCTTCCGCCGCTTCCTCTGGGGATGCGACAGGGGCGACGTGAGCTTCCTCGTCCTCTTCGCGGGTGGCTGCGGGTCGGGTCTGCTTCGGCTTCGGCGCTGTTGCCGGGGGCGAAGGGTCGGACTCCTCCGATTCGACGACCGGAAACCCGGACAGCAACTCCTTCCAGACATCCGCACGCCAGTTGATGGGCCACGTTACAGCCTCGAAGAGTCTATTTACTCCGACGCAGTCCACCACAATCCGCCCCAGTAGCGACTTTTTCCGTTTTGCCAAGAACATGCTGGATATCAGTGACGGGGCCCCGGTCTGGGCGGCTTTCTTGAACCAGGGCTCGATAAACCCCTCGGCAATAGCTTCCTCGATCAAAAACTTCATAATGTGATCCAGCACGCCGGGCAGGCTGAAACGCCGCGAGACACCAGCGGCGGCCCGCGGGTTGATCGGGTGGAAGGCCTTCGCGATTCGGACCGTCGGGAAAGGCTGGCCCGGGGCCCAGAGGGCCGCGCGGAGGACGCAGCAAATCTTAATGAAGCAGCAGCGGAGCTCGAGCGGCATCTCAACGGGGAGCGTATTCAGGAGTGTAGTGCAGATCAGTTGGTGGAAGTCGCGGTCGGACAGTTTTTCCTGGGCTGCCTCCTTCCGCTTGGTAATTTCTGCGTCGATCTGCTCTTGGGTCGCGTTTCCACTGATCGCGTTTCTGACCTTCGTATCGGGGCCCGGATCTGCGACCTGTTTCTCTTGGTTGGGTGCAGAACCGACCTGGTGGAGCCGACAGCGCGCATGTTTGATCTGTTCTCCCGAAACGACGTCGCGAAGGACCACGCGGGGCTTGACAGTTTTCTTATGTTTTTCCAGTAAGGTAACTTCAAACCGGACCCCTTCCTCGAGTTCCGCGGGCGTCGCAGTGATCGGGGCGCCGGGGATCGACACCATCGGCGCAAACGAAACATCGACCGAAACTGCTTGCGGTACCGGGAACAGGGTGCTACAGTCGATCCGGACGACATGCTCCGACGGCACGAATGGCTCCAATACCGATGGGTCCACGGTCCAATACTCGGCGTCGGCGGACGGATCCGCCGGTGGCAGGCTGGCTAGCAAAAGTATTTCTTCCAGGTCCGGGTCCTCCGGGATCGGGGCGCCGTCAAAACGCTGAAACAGGTCCTTGACTTTCTCTTTCCATTCTTCGTGGTTCGCCTCGACGCCATCGGGCTTTGCTTCAGTGCCGGATCGGGATCCAATGTCTTCGAGGTTGCTGGACGACCCAACGCGGTGCACCCGGTAACAGAGGCGGCCGGAGAGTGCGGAATGAATTTCCGAAGCCATCGACGATAGGGAGCGCTCCGTCCTGACATCCTGGGAAGACGTGATCAGCTCCCGGATACCGGTGGAGCTGCAATCGAAGAAAAGGATAAAGGGCACCGAAAGCGGAATCTTTGGTAAGATTTCCCGGACAAAGTGNAGAGGCCTCCTTGGGGGGCCTAGTTAGCTCGGGATTGCATGAAATCCAGGGGGGGTGATCCGGAGGCCATCCGGGCCGCCATTGTGGCCCACCAAGGGCTGCCCCAAAGGCCTCCGAAAGCGGCCCCAATTCAGTTGGAGGGGCGTGGGGCCGCGCAGCTGGCTAAAAAATGGCTAATTTTTTTCTGATTTTTGAAAACTCCGCGCGGCGAGGTAGCCGGTCGGGCCTCTCGTTTGCCGGTTGCCCGGCCTCCGCCCATTCCGGAGCCCGCGGCCATTGCCCTTGGCCCCGGGCTTCATCGTGTCAGCTTCGGCCCCCCCTTGCATGGATGGGCCGCGCCCTTTTTTGTTGCTCTGGTTTGCCGGGTATGGTTGGGCATTTGGGCCGCCCCGCGTAGTTCGGTGATTCAGGGCATCGGCCGTCTGGTTTTTGCATATTTCCGCGCTTTCTGTGGTTTTGCATGGTTTCGGGCCTTATGATATTCGACAGCGGGATAGGGACGAAAATTGTAGTCGTGGCAGCCGCCATGAGCAGCAGTTTTCGTCTCTTTTGTTCTGTCTGATGTAAGCTCCTATCTGTATTGCTTTCTATCTCGGCCTTCGGTGTTTGTTGCTCTGTTGTGTTTCATTTGCCCTACGGAAGAGGATCCACGTTCGTGCACATGTCGCCTGCTATCTTCAGTTTTGGAAATGGACAGGTTCCGGACCTGTCCGTTTCCAAAACTGCGGCACTCGACCACTTTTCGCCTCATGGATATCTTCTAAATCTTCTTCTAAATCTGCTTACAAGGGATTTCCTTAGGGAAATCAGTGTACTGCAGATTTAGAAGAAGGTGAAGAAGGTGTCCATCAGGCGAACATGTTGGTCGAATCAGAAAAAAGATAGTAGGCGATTTAGAAGGTGGATTTAGAAGGCAAAATAGAAGGCGAATTCAGAAGGAAAAATAGAAGGAAATTTAGAAACAAAAATAGAAGGGGAAAAATAGAAGGAAATTTAGAAACAAAAATAGAAGGCCCTTCCATTTTTGTTTCTCGATCATGGCCCCAGGTGGTTGTTGGGTTGGGTTTTGTCTTCGGGGATTCCTATATGGATTTCGTCTGGAATTCCTTCTGGGGATCTGTCTATTTGGTTTGGGGTGTTTCTGACCGGGGCGTTGAGGCTCGTTCGAGAGAGTCGACTCGTGTCGAGGACACGACCGGCAATAACATGTTTTTCCCGATGCCGCTCTTCGAGTTCGCTCATACATTTTGCATTCTAGTGACACTTCATCCAGAATAAAATCGAATGGATCTATCCTGGAGGTGCAAAAAAACTATTCGAAAACTATGAAGATTCTCTATCGATTTCGATAACGGATTCGCAATCTAATCACCTATTCTCGCATTACAGATTCAAAATAAATCAGAAATAAAAATCGAAACCAAAAGCAGGAGGAGTCGATAATTAACTTCTGAAAATGACTTCTGGAAACAGGTGCGGATTGTCGATTTGATTCGTGGTTTCTCGTCCTGGGGGCTCGCGATCACAGGACTTCTGGTGAAAATCCTGGGAAATCGAGCTTTCCCCGACCTAACAGGACACTTCGATAGATGAAAATCTATCTGATTCTATTCGAAAACCAATAAGAAATCAATCCGAATCACGATACTACTTTAGAATCAATAGGGTAAATCGATTCGACCGATAAATTCGTATTTTTAGTCGCGATTCAGATATTCTAAAATCTATAAAGTCGATCCTATTTCTCTCCTCTATCCTGATTCCCGGTCAGAATCTCGATTCGATCGGGATTCGATAAAAAAAATAAATGAAATTATCTAAAACCCACTTCTGATTCTCGATCAGATTCCGCCTCGACTCGATGGAAAGTGAAAAGATAAACCCTAATTATGATTCCGAATCTTCGAAGATGGTGTTCAGCGCGCGCCAATCACCATCAATTTACTTGATTCCGATACCCGATTTCCTCGATGGATTTCGATAAAGGAATAAATATATCTAGGATGATTCGACTCGGATTCCCATTGGGATTCTCGAGAATCAAAATAAGAATGAATCTAATCGATTCCGATTCTCGATGGGGTTCACGAGAAACAAATAA